ACTTGAGCGTCTAGTTGGTAAGAAAATGGCATGGCTGACGATAAGTCACCAAGTTGTTCACCCACAACTATTCGGCTCCGCACCAGGACGATCTGCAGTCGACCTTGCATCCTGTGTAATCCATGATGCTGAGGCGGCCATGAGAAGTGGCAAGTGTGCGGCTATGGTCATACTCGACATTCAAGGTGCATTTGATGCAGTCCTTCACAACCGACTGCTCAAACGCCTTCTAGAACAAGGCTGGCCACGATCCCTGTGCCGGTTTATTCAGACATTTCTTTGCCAACGAAAGGTTCAGATCAAATACCGCGGTGGAATCACAGAAGAGAAGATACTGGAATGTGGAGTACCTCAGGGCTCGCCACTATCGCCACTTCTTTTCATGCTCTACATCGCTGTGCTTTTTGAGGATCATGGTCTGACGAGCAGGTTTGGTTATGCTGACGATGTAGCTATTGTCAGAATTAGAAACACCGCGGCGGATGCTATCTCCGCAGCTCAAGACGACCTCGATAGCCTTATCCTTCTCGCAAGAGAACACAGGATCGATTTTGACCCAGCAAAGTCAGAACTTCTAGTAACCGGAGGAGGGCCTAGAAAGAAAATCAACGCGGCTGATCTTTCCATCTTGGTGAAAGATCGCCGGATCGAACCGTCACCTCATATCTGGTGATTAGGAGTCTGGTTTGATACCCAGCTAAACTTCAAGCAACATGTACAGGAATGGACTGGAAAAGCTAATCGTCTAGTCCATTTCTTACGACATATATACGGAGTTCAACGCGGGGCAGCACCCGGACCTCTGATTCGTGCAGTACATGCATGTGTTCTGAGCACAGCTCTATATGGGGCAGAAGCGTTGTGGCCGGGTCTCACTCGAATAACCACACTGCGAGATAAAGAAGTCGGCACTAGAGTAGGCTTGCATATATCTCTACTGGGAAAAACGATAATGAAAGCTATCAAAGTAGCACTCCCAGCGTGGCGTACCACTCCCAATGGAGCTTTTCATCGTGAAGCGGGAATACCCCCGGCATCGATAATTCTTCAGCAAGAGATGCTGCGGTCGGCAGGTCGTATGCGAAGAATGGATATCTGGCACCCTCTAGCCCTTCGGGCGGCTGAGGATCCGAAAGAGACAATAAGACGCTTAGGTCTTAGATCAGAACAAAGAGATCGTTTGTTCAGACAACCAAAACGGTACATGACACGCCTACAAATGAGTGTGCGTCGAGTTCCGACAGCCGAAGGCCCCGGAAAGCTATACTTCCCACGTGGCACTCCAGCATCGATTCCATGTATTCGAGAAGATAAGCTAGGTCTGGAAGCATAGAGCGATGGTTAGCTTCCCGTCCAGCTAACACGGTCTGCGCTTTCTCAGATGGATCATCATCGGGTCCCGGAAAATCAACCTGGGGGTATGTAGTATACCAAGGAGGCAAGCTAGTTGGAAGTGATTCCGGTCCACTTCCTGGAGCAGAGGTATTCGACGCAGAAGTTGTAGGTGCCATGAAAGCCTTGATGGCTGCAATAGATGTAGGAGAAGACTTACTGATCTGCATTCTTCTGGACAACCAAGCGGCCACCCAGGCGCTCGAAAGAGGAAGATCTAACTCCTCGCAGTTGGTGGTGGACAAGTTTTCATCGCTGAGACACAATAAGCGTGTGGAAATACGCTGGATACCCGGGCATGTGGGGATTCAAGGCAATGAAGAGGCCGATAAGCTGGCCAAATCAGCCTTGGGAGCTCCCAATAACCGCTCATTAACCTCAGCTGCGCCCATTCTAGAAGATCAAGATCTAACATTTGCGGCATTAGGGAGGTGGGTTAAACAGCGTAGCCAAGAGCTCGTGGAAGAGTGGTGGCAGAAGTATCGACCGAAACGATACAAAGATCTGGACCTATTCATGCGTTGCAAAAGACCACCGGAACTAGCTTTACCAAGATGGGCGTACCACCGTCTTATTGCGGCAAGAACAGGCCACGGGGACTATGCCGACTACCATCGACGTTTCAACCCCGAACATGAAGATCTGAAATGCGTTTGCGGCCGAGAGAAAAGGCCCTGGCATTTTTCAGAGTGCCGACCTGCTTTGCTACGTTGGAGAATCTATGAGAAAATGGCCCCACCTGGGGCCAGGGAAATGATAGGGGAGAAGGGATGGCAGAAGTTCTGTCAGACCAGTATCAGAACCCGGTGGAATTCGTATTCCTGAATTAATGTTTCGTGATTCATGTAAATTCCATTCTTCTAACATGATCGTAACATTATTGTCAGAATAATATGCCAAGCTGGTACCTGACATAATTTGTGATTGCCTCAGGATAACTTGGCGTTTTGGGTAATTTTCAGCTAGAAAATACTTGGCGTCCGTGTAACAGACGTAGTGGACTGGTATTGAGTCGGTTTAGGATTACATCTTGGCTACAACATGTTTGGATTGTATCCTGTGATGTAAGGAAGCTATTTCTAGATATTATCATCATATGTCAGGTAGTAGATATGTGTAGACATATAAGCTGAGATAAAGAGGAAGACAGACAGACAGAAAATTACATCTTTTTATTTCACTTCAATTGAAAGCTCCTGTGTGAGCTATTCTTCCAGATACCTCTAGTCTCAATCATTACAGCTTCCGAACCAGCTCAAAAGGTTCGACAAGTTCATTCAATTCTTAACTACAAGCAGATGTTACAGTCTGCCGAAGAATGAACAGGCTGGGAGGTGACCACGCTGAGATTGTTTCTGAACCGAGAAGAGATGGGTGTGGAAGATATGGATGCAGCGCAGGGCACCGTAACTCAGACATATACTTTTCATTTTTTTTCATTCTTTTCTTTTGTCGCTTCTGGCTCCACTGCCAGTCATGTAGGTAGTAATGAGCTTTCAGAGCCCATCTACCCGTGTCACGTCTAAATAGATGTTAGGTTCTTCCTGTCACGCAAAAGATTTCAAATTTAAATTCAAATTCCAAGTTGTGTGATCTATAAGTGGGCCTGATCACAACACAATGTAATACTATATTTAAACTTAGGATAACATTTTCGACAATTACCATTTGAATGTCACCATTGTATCATGCACTTGGGGGAAAGTTTTACCTTCAATCACCTCATCCTCCACAAGAGCAGATAAAGGATGCTTATTATGATTGTATACCAGACCTATTTGTGTGGCTCATCACAGTTAGAGAGTATATTTTTGAATGCAGTAGTAGCTCGTTCAAGACGTGATTGCAAAAATACAATTTGAAGGTTGTATGAGAGTATGGTAATTCTATGGGTCTCCATTGTGTTGTCGCAATCGCATCTGTATCGAGCTACTACTGCATTCAAGAATATACTCTCTAACTGTGATAAGATACACCAGCAGGTCTAGCATACAGTCACAATAATTATAACTTTTATTTTATAAAATAGCGTATCAGGCTGGAGATATCATTCATTTTTCAATTATCAACTCATAAAACTATAGAACCCAACAAAATTGTGGAGGCAGCTTTTGTATTGAGATTTTACCCTTACCAAGCTTAGTCCATAGACTTCAAAAACGCCCACATGGGTCATGAGTGCATTGAACCACATCAAATAAAATCAACCCCCTCATTTTATGGTAGAAGAACATATCTACTTACCGATTAATGGGCTGGATTACTATCATAAAGCTATGATAAAGCTATCAGTTGCTTACAGCGGACAAGGCAAGTTTCTAAAATATCATAATCAATAACATTGCCGAAGTGTAAAAATCAGATCTTCACGCAGAATACAGAATGTATTTTAGACTTACACTATTGTCTTGGAGCTTGTCACTCTACAAATTTTGGTCATGACTTATTTAGTAAAAGGCAAATACAATACTAAGTATGTCTGAAGGAGCCTCCCCTAAATAGCTTGGATGAGAATATCCTTCTATGCCTCTCTCTTACTATGAAGATCGAAAATTAGCTGAGATTAAAGTAAGTGGGGCTATGCTGGCCGCAAATAGTCCAAGCCTGAATAGTCAAATCCTTAAGTTTTTATGTGCAAAGAGTTGTGGATGAGTTTTACAGCTCCAAAGGGATTACTAGGCTAATTTGGGTTTCATTTGAATCAATTAATCTCGTGCCCTCGCACAACTCGTGAGTTCCTCACGTACTGATTGGCTTACTTTTAATGTAGGGTGTACCTTACGAGGACGGATTGATTTGGATAGAGAACTGTTTCTACATTATATCACGTTATACATCTTCTGATAGCGGCTAGGACTGGTCATGGCAATTTTGCCAAGTATCACAAGAGGTTTCATCACGAAGGCATATACCTTATGTGCAAATGTGACCGAGAAAGACGCCCGTGGAATTTCTCTGAATGCCGGACAGCGCTAATTGAATGGCGGAAAACAATGAGGAAATAGCACCAAGTAGATGGACAATGTTGGGAGAAAGGGATGGACAGCTTTTTATAGATTCCTTACCCTAACAGGATGCTACGGGGTGCAAAGTAGGACTTGAATGACCGAGGTTTTCTGGGATACATATAGTACAGGAAACTGCTGTGAGATAGCTGGCTAGGCGCAGGGCGTTAAATCAGGGCAGCAAAAGTTTTTGGTGAAGTTTTTGTCTTTATTAGATCATGTAAATTTCTGACCACATAAAGCCAGCATCAGTGGTGTTTGTCGGTCCACCCGGAAACACGCACCCGTGTCAAGCCTCCTGGGTGTAGAGCTTCAGCCTGATACGTTAAATTATTCAATTCAATTTAATTCAATATTACGTTATATGCTGAACTACTCAATAAGTAACTGATTTAGATCAATGCCTGAGGCCACGTAATGATTTAAATTTCATACTGGAAACGCCTTTATTCCTCAGTATTAAGGCTGAATATCGGCTCGACAGTTACTTCGCTTAACCCACAAACTACAATTATGAAAATTTGCCCTCAAGCCTCAACTTCGTAGACGACACTAAACCGACGCCCAAATAACTGCTAACGCGACAGGAAACAGAATTTAGAGATGGCTTCTCGTCCTACCGTATCTATCCTTTCGGCCGAGGGGAAGCCCTGTGGCTCAACTCATCCACTGCCAAAAGTACGAATCCTCTGATCAACGCCCTCCTTGCTACAACTTTAATCTCAACGAAGTAACAAATTTTTGAATAACTTATCTGCTAACACAAAAAACTAGGTTTTCAATGCACCGATTCGTCCTGATATCGTTCAAACAGTGCATACTGGAATGGCTAAGAACAAGAGACAGCCTTACGCAGTAAGTGAGAAGGCGGGTCATCAAACATCTGCTGAATCTTGGGGAACCGGTACGTAGCTCTACTTCACAACTTCTTGCGGGCCTGGGAAAGCACTTTAGCTATTTCAATGGCAGCAAAATTATCATACAGTAAATCTAACTTATCTTCATAGGTCGTGCGGTAGCACGTATTCCCCGTGTCTCCGGTGGAGGAACTCATCGTGCTGGTCAGGCTGCTTTTGGAAACATGTGCAGATCAGGTCGCATGTTCGCTCCTACTAAAGTATGGAGAAAATGGCATCAGAAGATTAACTTGGGTCAAAAGTAAGTTTCTAGCGCTAATCCCTAACAAAGCTATATCTAACGGCGTAAGGCGATATGCCACTGTATCTGCCCTCGCTGCTTCCTCTGTTCCGGCTCTCCTTATGGCTCGAGGTCATCAAATCTCCACCGTTCCGGAAGTGCCCCTCGTCATCAATTCCAGTGTCTTCGAAGGTGCTGGTATAACTCGCACAGCAGCCGCTATCTCCCTTCTAAAATCTGTTGGTGCCTCGTCTGAACTAGAAAAAGTAGAGGGTTCCCGAAAACTAAGATCCGGTAAAGGTAAGCTTCGTGGGCGCCGATATCGCCAGCGTCGTGGCCCTCTGGTTGTGTATGATCCGTCCGTTGATGGTACAGAGCTCATCCGAGCTTTCCGAAACATACCTGGTGTTGAGACCTCTTCGGTGTACGCTCTAAACCTTCTCCAACTCGCCCCAGGAGGACATCTTGGACGTTTCATTATCTGGACATCAGCCTCTTTCAAGGCGCTTGACAACATCTATGGTAGCACTACTGTCCCATCGTCAATGAAGAAAGACTTCCTCATCCCAACATCAATGGTGCAGCAAGCTGATATAGGACGACTAATAAACTCTTCTGAATTACAGACTGTTATCAAAGCAGCTGTTGGAACAGCACGTACTAAACGGTCAGGTGTTCAAAAGAAGAACCCTCTACGAAACAAACAAGTAATGTTGAGGCTCAACCCATATGCTGCTGGATACAGCAAAGAAAAGCTGGGGTCAAAGACTTTAGAAACTGGTAAACCTCAAAGGGCGACAAAAACCCCTTTTGCCGCAGTTTTGAAAGAGGATTAAATAAATAGTCATTGTGAATATTAGTCGTTATCTTTATTAGCATCATTTGGGATGGGGGACTGTGACCTGGCCTAGAGCATTTATAGAATGTAAAAGTAATAAACGCTCTAAAACGTTGCATAGTACGCTATCATTTCGCACAATCTTTATCCGAATAGATAATTTTTCATCCAGCCCAATTGAAAAGTTTTCAAAGTTTCCAGTTAGTCTATATGACTAGCCAACCTTGAACCCCAAGTAACTCAAACGACGGTCGCAGCGAAATTCAGTTGGAATATTCTCGCTTTTATCATCTTGGAAAATTTCCATAATCAATTAAAGCTTGACAATGTAACCACCCTACCCTTCATCCTGATTGCTACGATATGTTCAGAACAGGACAATAAGAACACCTTCCTATCTCGACGTAGATAGTTCGAAGCATATCAACGACACCCGTATTTCCGGCGAGCTCATCACTATTCTAACGATTCAAAACCGTCAATTCCCCTGGAATGATACACACTTTATTAGATAAATCAATTAATGTGTATTCAACACTCTAGCAACGACACACAACCAGTGCTTTTTCTACATGCAACACGAACCTCTTGGCTTTTGAGACACCAAAGCTCTAGATATCATTCGCAAACAATACAGAGAGCTATATTTGTCAGCGCTAAAGAACGCTCTGGAAGCAGAATTCCTTTCAAACAATTCATCCGCTTACCTCCCGCCTGGCGATGACAGTCCACGCCTTCTATCGTGCTACAGCGGATGCTTCGACCGCATCATGCTCCACCATCTCTCTTTGTTGTCCTTTACCAGAGCGACGCATCCTCATTTCCACCTGCATGTATTCACAGCCTTGAATGTTCATTTGTGGCATGTTACGTATACTTGCGTAGTAGAGTTGCGGGGGTCCCATAGTGAACTAGAGGAATTGTGTCTGTCTGATACTAAAATTTCCAAATACTTTCACGTGATCTATTGTGGCCACTAATTACACCGGATCTCGTTTTTTTATTATTATTTATTACGAAAAGGTCCCAAGCCAAAGCTCATTATACGCCACGGATGAAGAACCGATGGGGAGGGCAGGACTGAACACCTGTACGCGGTGTCCTCTACGAACCTGGGAGTGAAATATTCTCCCAGAGCCAAATTCAGTCAAATTTCGCAATAACGAACAAGTTGGCCCACGGGGCAATGATTCAAATTAATGTACCACGTCAAGTTTTCACTCCCAAAGAGATCGAATCCTACCTAAGCCTCATCAAGTCTACAAGTACGACCTATTACATCCTCATCCCAATGATCATACCTCTCGTCGACTTTCTCTGGCCTCAGCCAGTCACCAAATACACGCCCACGCCGATATTTATACCAGACGGAGGAAGCAAAGTGTGGAGCACAAATCTTGGAGATTGCTCTTTGGGATTGGCGTGAGAGGGATCATAACAAGTTGACAAGATAATGCAGAGCGAGGAAACAATCTCGACGGGCGTGATATCTCGAATTTCGCCAATTAGTCTTTACAAATTGAGCTTTGTGCGTGTCAAGGCTTCGGTTGCAAGACTGTATCTGACACTATAAACAAAAGTCAACGGTGGAAGGTGCCGTGGTACATCATCTGGGCCAATTTCCCAAGTAGACTCTTGTCAGGTAACTGGGAGCCTGATCTGTGACAGGCGAAGTGTATGTAATTAAAGTAATAGATAACTCAGTAGAAACAACTTAATTCCTATTTCTCCTGGAATTCTAGGACTATATACACTGATCATGATTGACTTGATCTCTTGATCTCTAAATATAGACATGCGCTATGAATAGGATAACCTGCAGTTCTAAATACAGAATGCAAGCACTGACCGAAACAAACAACCCACGTACGTATGGACAGTCCCTATTTTTGACCCGTGACATTTCCCTGATCAACTTCTTCTGTGGTTATTCTTAGCCGTCGACAATTCTGGATAGCTTAGACCCATATCCCACTCGAGACAGTAGATCGCTGCTTCAAATACGGCAAAACACAGCTACATTTATCGCGGCGCTGGTATGCATGGATGACGGAGGCATACTTGGACAATCAAAGGTTTCGAAATTCCCTTTGGTGGGTACTAACGGAGGAGGGTCGACTGTTTGCGTAAGCAAGCATACCTTACAGTGGTATTTGTGAATGAAATCCAGAGCATGAGTGTCTCTAACGTCAAAAGAGTCATCCAATATGTTTACATAGCACCGGTCATGTGTGATAGGTAGATAGCTGCATACACATTAAATGATTTAGAAAATAAGTCTCGTAGGATAAAATTTGGCATCAGTAGTGGTTGGACAGAAATGTGTAGATCGCTGCTGGTCCAGGGAGGTTTTTAATGGCGGCCAAGCTCTAAGGTTGTTCGATTTAAGCGATGATGTTTGCCGAAGTCGAAAGTATATGTCTGAAGCCTGATTCAATCCTATCGTTCTTTGCCAGAAAAGCAAAATCGGTCCTTTCTTGATGAATCGAGCCAAAACTGCCAGAGAAAACTGTATAGTATCCAGCCCCCATGTTAACGTCGCGGTCTGAAGCTGTAACCCGAGCAGACCGCACGCCCAAGCTACGGCAAGTTCTAGAGACCGAATAACGACGAGACATCCAAACAGTTTCAAATCTGGCACTCCGCTACGCAGCAATCAATGGCATCGAAGTAACCCTTCTCCCTTTGACAGATTAGTCAATTGGACCATCAGTAGACTCAATGAGAGTCTCCCTACGCGCCACCATTGCGCAATACATCGTAACGGGACCGGCCCCCTCGCCCGGCTGATCCTTTCCTGAGGACTCTACCGGTCCCGGACCCAAAGTGGACATAGAACATTAGCTTAGGACTTGATTGAATTAAATTGATGAAGATCACCTCTGATACTCCAAATTTAGACCCGCGCTCGGGGTAGAAAACCTGCGGTTTTAGGAAGATATAACTGGCACTGAATAGAAAAAATATTCCTTGAACATGAGGCCAGCAGCTGTTTTTGGAAGTGTGTTGTTGTATTTGTAAAGTCCTGAGCTAAAGTAAAAAGCTCTACATCCTACTCTTGGTACAGGACCGGTGGAGCCGGTAAGGATCACTGTAGACAGGCCCAACTCATTCCAACCGCGTGGACTTTCACATAAATAATGGTGTTAACAGCAAAACTAATATCAAAAACTAATATTAAATTCAGAAAAAGTCCCAATCAGGTCCGGACCTCCGCTTCTCGCCCGTTCACTTTCCTGTCACATCTTACAAGTGCCACTTTCTGAATCTCGCTGAGAGCAGAAAATGAGCTCGCAGGCACCCTTTCTCCAGCCGGTGTTCTACTATTAACTTGTTGAAGCCTCGAAGACTTCACTGAGGCTCTCCGTAGCCTTAAACCTCCTATTCGGATCCCAGAATCCCAAAACCCGATCTGTCTGACATATAGACATCGTTCTTCGCGCCGTGAATCGCCTGAATGGCTATTTGGGCTGCAGCTCTGATGCGAGTAGAATCTGCGTGATTTTTCTGCTCGACCTTGCGATTCATCGCAAACTGCTCTGTTTTCACCGGGCCGAACTTGCTGGGTCTCGCTTTGCAGTACTGCGAGTCCGATCGATGAGGTCTCCCACAGTTTCGACACCGTGTGGGGGCTTTGCACTCCGTTTCAGAATGCATTTTTGATCCGCAGCTCGAGCAAGCCGGAGCGCGGGAGCAACCGCGTGAGGCATAGAAGCCAAGACATCGATTGCACTGAACTGTTTTTCGACAAGGTTGGAAGAGCTTTGCAGCTCCAGAGTCATCAAAGAAGCGAAATCCAGGTCGGGGCGTGGATTCGCGAGGGAAGAGCGCTTGCCAGTTCTGGTATGGAGCCCCGGGTTTGCTGATGCCGTGAGGACGAACGAGAAAAGGAACTGATTTGGTCACTCGCGTGACTTCGTCGGCGACCATGTTTTCCGTAATGAAAACGGAACCTGTGAGTGTATTAATTCTCAGCGGGACGGTGGCAACTTGAAGGGCAACCAAATTTGACGCTAGTTCCAGTTTAATTCCCGATTCTCTCCGTTCTACGGAGGAATCAAGGAGCTCTTTTCGAGCGAGTTCATCCTTTGCTGTTAGCGCAAAGCCCGTTTTGACCCGCTGAACTAACGTGATGTTTTTAGTCGCGGTACCGAGTGCCTCTGAAACAGCTGATCTTACTCCAGCTGGTGCAAGGAGTCGGTGGGGATAGTCGTAATCGAGGCATAGAAACAGTCGCGTATCGACTGTCGTCCTCGAATTGGCTTCCTCTGCTTTTGGGGCGGGCGGGGCTGCCTTTGTTGTTGATGGCCTAGTGCTGTGGCCAAGGCCTGCTCGGGCTACATTCGCCCAAGTTGTATTTTGGGCCGGAGCTTGGGTTTTCGAAGGGTACGGTACCCTTATTTCATGAGCCCTTGGCGGAGGAGGGTTGCTGGGGCGTACAGGGAGAGCTGGTGGGGTGCTCCCTGGGCCTGATTGTATGAACCGGCCAATGGCCGCTCGAAGGTAGACTTTGATGCCGTCTACAAACTCTTTTACGTCGCCAATCGAGAGAGGCGAAAGTGCTGCTTCAACACTGCTTATTGCAGTGGAACAGATTGATAAACGGGCCTTGATTTGCGTTGTGCGACGCTTCTCGGCCTCCATCACTGATTGCAGCACCGGAGGATATTCCGGTGCTGATGTCGAAGCTGTGCCTTTTGGAGCTGGCACAGTGAATTTTCTTGCAGAGGTTTCTGCTTGTTCTGTTGTCTTCTCTCGGACGACTTCCTTTCCTTCCCATGAGGTGCTTGCCTCTGGAGCAAGCTCAATGGGAATGTTGGTCTCGGGACCAATTTACTCTGACCTGACGGGCTCAGAATCAGTCATCTCTTTATCGGGAAGGTTTGGAGACTTCCCTTCGATGAAGGCCTCACTCGCAAGCATGTTTGATATTTTTTGCGCGAGGCCAGATGTTTTTGCAGGAGCCCTCGGGCGGACTCTCGCGTTGTCCAACATTGAGTTGGGGAGCTTTTTTCGAACTGGTGGCATGATGAAAATGCCAACGATTCGATCACAATTTGTTGAGAGAATGCGACGAGCGGGAGAGGGGGAAAATTGGAAGATTCGGATTTCAAAAAATTGTGTGTGTTTATTGTACTACTTGAGTCTATGACTATCTAGCACATTGGGCTCCTTTCAGACTCAGGCCACACCTCGTTCAGTGCTCCTATCCTCTTTTGTTACTTGAAAGATCATTGATATATTGCCCTTGATGAATAGCCATTCAGCTCAGTGTTTACCCGTGGAATTCGGCCACCTTTTCCACGGAACCTTCTACCCTAAAAAAATGGTAGCAATGGAAGCTGCGTGCGCGGGAAAAGTCTCAAAAAACGTGCAGCCCCAGTCCTTTAAGGCTTAAACATAGGTGCCACATGAGGTGCACATATCCATCTATATCTCCCTTCTTTACAACATTCGAGGCCATCTTGATCCAATCCACCATCTCCGTATCGGGTGCTAGGTACGCTCCGGAAACTCATCGGATGGCTTTTCCTCCATGATCAAGGGTTGATGATGAGTAGGGCCCCGACTCTACCACCTGATCTGATCGTGGTTAGCTTCATGATAATGGTGATAGGGGAATGTGTTGAGAGATGAAGACGATAAACACCGCGAAAGCGATTGGGAATCCTCATCGAAGTGAGGACTATGTTACTCAATCTCGGCTCTGCAGACTCTACAGTGAGAGCTGGAGGTTAGTAGGGAACACCACTGATAGGCGTTGAGAATAGTCACCCTATTTTTGGAAGTGAACACGTGTTCAAGCGAGTTTTAATATCTATTTCGTCAATGGTCGAATGAATGAATGAATAAAAGTTTATTCGTGACGGGCACAAGCCCTGCACTCAAAGAGCATGACACGGAGAAGACTAGCTTCTCCGGCGACTATATACGACGATAACTCAGTTTGACATTTTGACTACTCATGTAGTGGGTGCATTTGCTGACACCACTCGAGACCCTGGTGCTAGGGATTTTCACCCTTCCCTCAACCGTTAATATCTGCTAAAGGGAAAAGAGGAAAAACCTTTGGCTACCTTAACATGCCTTTGCTATCTTGTATATAGCCACCGCGCGAGATATGGCCTCACAGTCCTCCCTTTCCCGAGTGAGGTAGGTGTCCAGGCCACCCAGACTTTAATTCTGGGAGATGACGACCAGGAGGTGGACCAAAACACCTTCCATCGTTGCCTATTTTTAGAGTGTCGGTAGCACTATCTTAAATCGTTGCCTCGGCGCCCACAGGCACCCTTAAGTCGAAGATACTCGAAAAATGTGCGTCCCAGCATGCCCATTTGTGACCTCTTCACTCGTTCGTCCCACGTTCCAGCTGCCTGTCCTCACTCAAGATGTGAAGCCCTATTAGAGCAATGGTCCTCCATAGACCAAGACCCTAGCTTTGTAGATTATGACTTCAATCCCTCCTCGTGGGTATACATAGCGTCGTAAATGTGTAGCGGGAGACGGCCGGTTTTTGATGAGGCAAAAGCCCGATCGCAATTGGAGTAACGCCATTATCGGTATTTGAGGCGAGGTGGTGTGATAAGATTGAGGTGGAGGACTCGCGTGAGAATGATAGGTCCGAAATTGACGAGAAGTCGTCGATGTTAGATGTGCTTGCGAGTGCTCTCAACTTCGATTTAGATTTGGATGCGATTCTTCTTGGCTATCCCAGCATGCAGAGCGATTAAATTGGTATCACTGGAAAGTGATGAATTCGTCTTTGCCGGCAAGGTTGAAATTTGAAATGGGCGCGGGACGATTTAACTGGGAAACATGATGCAGAACATATAAGGTGGTGAAGATTGTCAGCTATTTTAATACGAAAATGTAATAGGCATGAGTCTGTCTATTGCTTGTAATTGGGGTGTAGAGCAAAGATTTCGTTGGGTTGTGCAGTCATGAAGTCTCTGTAGGAGGTGCTGTTGACCGAAAATTTGCCAACACCACTACTCCCAAACGCCATCTGGGAAAATCTCTCAAAAATACGCTTGGAACTGACTAAATTTTGGTTGATAGAGAATACTTCACACCCAGACTCGAAAAAGACACCACTGACGGGTGTTCAGCATTCGTCCTCCGCAGCCACATTGCAATCTATGTCGAAGAGTTTTTTGTTCGTTGCAGGTGAAATATCCGCACACATATTCGTATGTAGCAGGTTTGCAAATAGAGGCAACATCACTTACCACGAGTTGATAACGTATAATTGAGCGATAATAATCCTAGCTAAGGATATTTATTTACGAGGGCCGACAGGGAACCTAGAGTCTAGGTCATAATGTGACTCGGGAGGGTTTCATTCCAAATACCCATTTATTATTGTGAGTAGCATCAGTCTAGTCTAGCTTTTCACTGCGCTCATGCGTAAAAATTATTTTGAGGTTGGGCTGGTGGATAGAGCTTCTTCGTCGCCATGATCTGCTGGGTCACTCCCGAATTTTGGATTGTTCTGAGACCCTGAAGACTATGATTTTGTCTTGAGAGGCTTGACTAAAGCGTCTACGTTATTTTCATATAAAGGGTGATGGTACCCTGAGATGAGCACACTGAGGTTGAAGGAAGGCGCAGGGCGATATCGCTAATTTTCGAAAGGACTCACCGGTCGTTGGTGCAACGCAAAGATGGCACTTACTCGGCGTTGAAAAGGTAAAAGCTTGTGAAGAGCATCATAGCTAAGGTTCTGCGATTTTTAGGAATAAATCATAGTGAACTATTGACCTCTCGATGTTTAAATAAATATAAGGATCTGGGAGGAAAGACGAATATTCAATTCACACATACGAGACTGTAAGGCTCTCCCCTTATTTAGCATCAGACCAAGAGCAGAATTCATGTCGTCTGTATCTCTCAAATACAGCCTTGTGGTACATGTAAACCACACTCATGTTGTATGATTGCAACATTATTGTTGAGACAATATGCCAAACTGGTAACGGACTCACTTGACAGCTGCATCACGAAAACCTAGGTGTTTTGTGTAATTTCAGCTGCAAAATACAGGCATATTGAACTAGTAACGGCTCTTTTAGCATGCTAACTAGGCTACGTCATTTTTGGAATATGTCTAGTCGTGATAGAGAGTCATTCCTGTAAAATATTATCCTTCGTCGAATATTAGATTTTTGTATGCTAGAAGGTATTTAAGGAAGAGGAAAGACAATCACATCTTTTTCCACACACTTCTATTGAAAGCTCCTGTGGGTGCTATCTTTCCAGATATCTCCATTCTTAATCACTAATACTTCCAAGCCAGCCCAAAATTCCGACACTTTCTTAGAGTATCCTAGAAAATTCTAGCATCATACATTTGGTGGTCCATCCTAAAAACATTTTGTAGGTCCAGTTCATTTATTCCTCTGATTGCCCGGGTATTACCCGCTTATTTCCTCAATTTAAGATTCAATTAATTTTGTTCATATGATCTTCGCTATCAGCAACACTTTACAGCACTTATTCCAGACTTAGCCTAAGAACTCCCACTCACAAATAATTCAATGGGTCGGACTCCAGGCTATTCAAATTGTGTAGATAGATAGTGTTTAGGGGTAGTATTCCACCTACTTATGTAAACTAAGCTAGCCAGGCCACATGACCTTCTTAGCAGTACATAGATTTCATCCGTAGCGGAAGGATTATCTGGTCAACATTTACAATGTAATGCCTTGTCCCACGTTTATTTCTTAAGAGATAGTTTGGCTGTCGTGGCGCTCTCGTCTAGCATCGAAGGGCTATTCACTTCGCTATCACACTTCCGCCTTCAGCATAAATTTGTCTTTAGTTTCCGGAACGAGTAAATACTAGACCGCTCTTGACTCTACAACTCTAGGAGGCCTGTATAGCAGACAACCAAGATCACAAGACTTTAATTCATCTCATCAATATTTGTTAGATTTATGTTTAAACAAATACAAGAAACCATTAAATTTGAGGCAAAGCTTTAGACAATCTTGTGCAACAATTCAATAAGAATTATTGACTAGTAAACCTAAGCATGTCATAAATCTACTAATACGGACCACAATTAGCTACATAGCCCCGATTTTTAACGTAGCTTATTACCTGCTCTCTTAAAATATATATTGTCTGTTCGCTGTGGTGTGTTACCCCTTGATCTCTCCCCATGTGAAGCAACTACGTTTCGATAGCCCGCACCAAATTCTACAGGTACTGGGCTACTACCCCTACTAATGCCCCCAACTATAGCGCTAGTGTTACTATGGCTATTAATTATTCTTCCCACCGGACGAGGGCTTGCCACATCGCCTCCTGGCCGCGGGCTACGTGGTATACTAGTACTCCGAGTATTAGGGCGTCCACTCACGGCAATATTATACTGGTCGGTTATTCTTTCAACCTGGCGCTGGAGAACAGCTTTCTCAGACCTCAAACCTCTAATTATGAACTGAAATTCTCTAATAGTATTATCATGTTGAATCTGATGTATCTTTACTGCATTATCACCGGCTTTTATCTTCAAGGCCTCTAGATCCCCCTGCAATACACGGAGCTCAGTTTGTGCAGCAGCAGCAGAGGTTGAAGCTTCCTGGTAATTGCTTTGCATGTAATCAAAGTCTGTTTGGTTAATCCTTTTTTGCTTATTAAGTAGGTCATTCTCAGCCTTGAGACGCGAGATCTCTATTCGCATCTTTTCTAATTCATGCAATTCCGGTATGCACGAGCCCAAAAGTGCTTCTCGCACATTCTTCAGCTCTTTATCAGTTTCTTCTTTCTCCTTCTTAACTTGAACTAATGTTGATTCTCTATCAAGAAGTGTACGTCTTAAATTGGCTTCTCGAATCAGCGCGAGATTTTTCTCATTTTCGTAAAGACCACGCTCAGCAATAGCTTCTTGATATTTGGGTTGAATTAGCCTTATACTTTCTTCTAGATCAAGGTATCGGGATTCCAAATCTTTATTGATTTGGCGCAACTCTACCTCTACTTCCTCCAGATCCCGGAGTTGAATTTTGATGGAATTTAACTGCAGATTATGTCAGGTTAAGCTAAATATTTTTAGTGCCACATATTGGTTAGAGACCTTTTTTTTTAACGAGATCTGATTTTCCAACCCACCCACGATGTTCTGAATTGATGAGTCGGATTTAATCTCAGGACATTTACTTTCATCTTCTTCGAGAGATGGCTTATGAGTTGTTTTCTGTGATTTATCGTTTGTAAATTGGTTTTTTGGCGATCTGTCATTAGAATACTCAGTTTTCTGACGTTTTGAAAAGTCAGAGAATCTAGAGTTTTCATCTTTCTTGAAGATTATTAGTGAGTGACATGTGGAGGGGAAAGATATTTTCGCTAACCGAATATCGTTTTAAAGAGGCTGGATTTATTGAATGGAGCTCACTTTTCATGTGTTGAAGCTCTTCGGAAGATCCGTATAATATTGATGTTTGATCTTTCTGAAAATGCTTTATATTTTCATCTAAATCTGGCAACGAACCTAGTGGCCAAGAGCCTTGAACTTCCCCTTGGATATAAAACTGTGCTACTGCTTTAGCTGCACCTGGAGGCTCTTGATAATTTTTGGGAATAATTCCAACCTTATCCGCGGCAGTGTGAATGAGTTTAAAAAGTTGTATTTTTCCAGCAGTATCTTTAGTCAAGGTTTGTAATTCTCTTTCTAAATGCTGTATTGAATGTGTGATTACTAAGTGTATAACAGATACTGATAAATTTGAAGTGTCGGCACCACTTTTTAATTTTGCGAGATGTGCGATACGGGAATAACTAGAATCAAAGGCAATTATGATATCGGCTGTTTTTATCTGGTAAGATCGTTCAGAACTTAGTAAAATAGTTACTTTTATTCTACAGTCTCCAGAGCAATCTGAAACCAAGGCTGGACGATCAGCACGGCTGTAAGAAAAATTATGTGCTCTCAAAAAAACCTCAATAACTTCCATCAGTTCTATTTCACTGATAAGGACAATTATATGTCTATCTTGCGATTTAATGTGGCTTAAAAATTCAGATAAAAATATAAACTTGGTGCTGACATTTTCTGCGTACTTTGCTTGATATACAGCTAAGTCCAGAGTATTTGAAGACAGATCATCCAGTGAAGGTTTTAAGTGATCACAGAGCTTACGAAGGTAGTCTATTAAATGGTCTATTTCTGTAAGAGCTTCAGGAGAAACAGTTTTATCTTTTGATATCAATTCGAGTAAGTTCCGGCTGCCCTCAATTTTTTCAGTGTAAACGTTTCGTACGTGTGATACAAGCGGGAGCGGCACATCAAATTCTCGATAATTTAGCGGTGTGGCTGTAGCAATTGGCAATGTCTGTTCCATACTAGAGCTTGACTGAGGTGTTGGAGATCGCAAGTAATGTGACATTTGATCGAAATTTTCTACTTCACTTAGAGATGATTCGCGGGGTTTGACATCTTTCTTTCCCAAGTCTATGCGTTGAACATTTTCTTGGGCTTTCAATGAGCTCTCTAGAATATTATGAGATGCGGCCATAATGTAAGGTTAACGAGAAAAATTTTATAACATTAGAATTTACAAGACTACCATCCACAGTTTTTCGTGACCTGAATCTATAGCCTCTAGTAAGTAGTTTGCCCGCTAGTCAGTTTAGAGAAATATTTAAATTGAAATTGAGAAGTATATAAGAATTAATCAAAATTGGTTTCTGGTTCATAGCAGTGACATGAGCTTTTGTGGCTTTTTTCTTGTACAAAGTTTGAGGTTGGAATTTTTTGAAAGCCTTGCTATAGAGTCTAACCGGAGCTAAGATGATGAAGGTTTGACAAATAGCCTTTGTTGGTCGTAGTCCTAACAAGAGAAATAAGTTTGTGATATTCTTCTCGGTTTTTTGTACAAAGATATACAATTTTGTGATGAGAAAATTAGACATGAAGTTTACTTTGGTAGAAGGGAGATATGAGGGGTATAATATTAATTTAGATGACGGGATAAAAGATTGACTCTGTATATTTGAATCAATTTTAGCTCACATTTTAAGAAATGAAAGAGTGACAAGATGAGATTTGAAATAACTGGTTGGATGATGACTCACCAACTTTACAAAGATAAAGATCTCTTGATTACTTACCTATTTTTAGTGCTTATAATTAACTCAAACCGGGGGTAAAAACACATACAGTGATTTCAGGAAGACCATATAATTGGCCTAAATTTAGCAAATATCTTTCGATATAATTAGTTAATAGGAACTAATCGTGTTTCTTGGATACTGTAGGCAGTATTTATGACGAGAACATGATAGTAAAATTGAAAGCAAGAGTGCTTATCTTGCTAGTGTCTTGAATATAAGAGACCAGAGTATTAAATTCCAGCTTGTTTCCGAGAAGAAATGAAATTTTTTTTAGTACGGGATGATACTTGATTCATAGGATAGGGCTGTTGATATAAACGTGGCACTGGCCAAAAACCTTCTGTCTTTATTTCCTACAAAAAAACTTTTTTGAAGAGTAAAGTTTTCGGTCAATACTAACACGATTAAAATAAAATAAAATTCTGACCCGTATTAAATGGCAGATATTGTAGGTAGTAAATTTGATTTGAAGTAAGAAGACGGTCTCTTCGCTTTTCGGACGCTTGAATAGACTTATGCATGTGTGAAGCTTGTTCTCATCTCAAATAAATTCTGATTAAAGATGAAGTACCTACAGTCGGCAAAATCTTCAAAAACTTTTATCCAGGATTTAGGCAGGCTGCTGGTACGATGGATCGTATTTCAACCCCAATGGCCCGTATGGATGTAGACGTTCTCGATGACTTTGTTTCTGATAGAAATTGTTCTGGCTTATTCTCGGAATCAAAGTTTTTGAGGGTATTATAGTTGGTTGTTAGAGCGAGTTTCTTCCGAAGTAGGACAGCATGTGGGGGCTACTGATTATGATGGGAAGCCCGATATGGTTTTATGTGATGAGTGGAATCGACCAGTTTTTTCTCTTTTGTAATGGTAGCGCCTTAATTAGAAGTGTATATCTTGCTTGGTCGTGGTTGCCCTTGATGTCGCAAATTAGTTTCTGTTGTGACCCTATTTCAAGCACAAACTCGAATGATGTGAATAGTTCTGTGATATGGAGACCATACCTTGGAACGGGTGCAATTAGGAAGATTTTAACAAACAGTTCAAAATTTGGGTGATGAGTTGAAGTATTTATAGTCAAGTTCTACTAAGTATCATTTGCTACACCGTAGTTATCCAAGGTCAACTTGATGGCAAGCCCTGTCTCGGTTTTGAAATTCCCGAATATGGAGAGTCGAGGTTGCAATAGCGGTCATAGCTTAACGTGTTGGAATAACAAAACATTGTTTCTTGGAGCTAAACACTAGTCGCCTCTCGAATTACACACAAATTTAAGAGCATCTACTGTCAGAATGTTAAATAAAATATGAAATTAACAAATATAAATTTATTTCGATCACATTGAACTCGTTCTGCGATCTGTAGTCTTCACAGCTGCCTTTAACCGAAGCATTTAAACAGGAGGAAACTTCACGTCGAATTAACTTACCTTCCTCTCTATTTGTCCTATTTTCATTTCTCGCTCGTCTTCCAGTAGGCGCAGGCACTATACAGTGACACACCCTCGTATCAATCACATAGTTTTCTAAGGACCCAGACCTTTACTCATCTCAAGTCATTCCTTCAGTAGCACTATGATTGCTTTTATCAACCAAAATTAGTATTCCTAACTATGGCCTAAAATCCGCCACGATACTTTTTTTATCACTAGCACTCTTGATTTTTGATTCGAAGGACCGATATTGAGCCTTTCCATAAACCTTTGCTCTACCGTTTGAATATCGAGTGCAGCAAATTTTTATATGCTTAGGGTTTTGTGATTGGTAACCATCTAGTTAGATTAAACTGCAAACTCTTGGTGTTTTTCTTTATGAAAATAAGAATTGACCATAAAATGCTCGCTTCGAATTTGGATCTTTAGACTGCTTTGTGCTATTATTGTTTTTGTTAATTTGAAATTGAACTCATTTAACCCTACAAGGACCCAAAGCAGTCTAGCGATTCAAATACGAAGTGAGCACATGGGGCTCAACCCGTATTTATAAAGAAGAAAAGTTCCCAGAGTCTACAGTCCAAGCTGTCTATGTAGCTACCAATCGCAGAACCCCAAGCAAATGATTGTGTCCTGCCCTCGATGGTCAAATGGAAGGAGAGAGATCTGGAGACAAGCGAAAGATCGGTCCTACGAAGCTATGCTAAACAATTCTGGAGATATCAAAAGGATGACACAGTGGATCCTAAATCATGATTGGATAGAGCAATTCCAGATGATAAGGGCGGTCGAAATGCTGCTGAGGGTAAGGAACAGGTCATGCCTTTCTTAAGGTCGATAAAGCTGATGTGATTAGGTTATATGAAGGGCACTACAGTGTAACTGCGCTTCCCTAAAGGATACATTAGAAAAAGCTTAGAAATTTAACGAGAAGGTTTGGGGGGTTTAGACCAAAAGGTTCCCTCCCATATAAATTAGAAGGTATGATAGACACCTGCACGGGCCCATAGGGCGCCAAATCAGGATAATGAAATCAAAATCAACCTCATTTAGCCCGATCAAGCACCCTTTGAGTCCCTGCAGGGGACAATGTTCAATGTTTACGGAGAAAACCAAATTGGTGATAAACCCCTAATTCTGCGTATTTAATTACTGTCAACTCGTCAAACTTACCTTCAAGGAATTTAGTAACGCTGTTCAGCCGGGTGGACTACTATCAACACCTGTCGTTGGTCCCCCTACGAATTTCCTGCTCTAAATATAGAGTCCACAGTGCCGAGATTGAGCAACATATTCATCCTCATTTCGATGAGGATCCCCAATCGCTTTCGCAGTCTATATCGTCTTCATTACCTATCACAATGATCATGAAGCTAGCCACGATTAGATCAGATGTTAGGGTCCAGGTCTACACATCAAGCACTCTTGGTTATGGAAGAAAAGCCATGCGATGAGTTTCTGGAGTGTATCGAGTACCCGATACGGCGATTGTGGATTGGATCAAGTTAACCTACAATGTTACAAACAAGGGAGATATAGATGGATATGCGCACCTCATGTGGCACCTGTGTTTGAGACTTAAAGGACTGGAGCTGCAGGTTTTTTGAGACTTTTTGCCGTGCACTCAGTTTCCATAACTGCCTTTTCATTTGCTATTATTTTGATGGATGATTCAGTGGAAAAAGTTACAGAATTCCACAGGTAAATACTGAGCTGAATGGCTATTCATCACGGGCAATATATCAATGATCTTTCAAGAAACATGAGAGGCAAATAGCACTGTACAAGGTGTGGCATGGATCAGAGAGGAGCCCCATGTGCCAGATAGTCATAGACTCAAATAGTACAATAAACACACACACACACAATGTAGTCACGTCTATTTCTTGTCTTGGTCGCGGGGTTTCACTAAAACACAAGGCTATAATGTCATTTGGATAAAGTTGTCAAGTTGAGATATTGGCACCTACCTCATCAACCCCCAAACTTCAGTCATACCAAGTTTGATTTCTGTGTATAGTGTAGTCTCTTCTACCTGCAGAAATCTTCCGTTCATTGTATTAACTAAATCTCTCTGAAGGCTATATTCATCGCTCCTCTCTTCAACTCCACAGCTTTACATCTGAAGCTCCATTCACCAGCTCCTGTGCTCGAATACCACTCTTCCATTTTCTCCAAATGTCCGAAATCTCTCTCGGTCTCTAACCTCACAACAGAACACATATCTGCGGAATCCCTCGTAAACCTAGGAATAAAGTATTCTCTCAGAGCTAAGTTTAGTCAAATTTTTCAACAGTAAAGAAGTTGACCCACGGGGTAATGATTCAATATTCTGCAACGTGTGTTAGAAATTGTCAAAGGTTTCTAGGAGGAAAAATCTCGAAGAACAAGTATTTAATTTCGGAGAAGACTTTATTGATAGTTGTGTAGGATATCGAACTCTCTTCTCAATGTGAATTATTAATATATAATCATCGCCGAATTCTATCAGAACTGAAAGTCGGGTTGATGAAAAATAAGTCTCCGGGAATCGCCTTTCTACTCCACCGAAACCTGACAAAGACCCATAGCAGTCTATGTCACGAAATGAGTCGTGATCTAAACAATCAGACGAAGTTAACCAAGTCTATTGTGATTGTCTAAAACAATGATATGGAAACGATGTTTCTACGGGGTAATTAAGGGTTTACAGCCTGCAAAGACGTATTCTTCACCTTCCAGTGGTGCCGGTGTAATCTCTCAGTATGCTCTGCATATCTGGGATATCCAAGAAGAATCGCATCCGAATCGAAGTCGAAAGCAACCTCATACACATCTCCATTTGATAACTTCTCGACAATACCTCTTTCATCATTATCATCTGAGTCCTCAACCCATCTCTAACCACGCATCATCTCGCCTCAACGACCAATAAAGAAGTTGCTCCAATTGCATACAGGAGCTTGCCCCATTAATCTCCAGCCATCACTC